TTCTTGTGTGATGAGAACGAATCTGATGATATTCTCCATCGTATTCTGCCGCCGACAATCTTGACGGGATTTGATAAATCCCGATAGCAGGGGAGGGCAAGAAGTAGATCAGGGAAATTATGGGGTAAAACAGGCTGAAATAAGCAAAATAGAGAACAGAAATGTGTAAAATAAGCACAAAAAACACTTAAAATTGGCTAATGAAACTCTACGGACATTGCCGCCATCTTTGAAAGTCTATGGACCGACGCGCCAACTTTCGAAAACTCTACAGGAACCAAACCCATCGTTTGGCAAAAATCTATGGGATTTCACATAATCCAGATCCCCTGTGGTAGTCATACAATGCGTCCTAACCAATAAACCAACCTAATCTAACCTAACCCTATAGGATTTATACACTACAATCTATATTTTCCCTGGTATTATATGTGCCTAGCCAGGGGGGCTATGCCCCCTGGACCCCCTTAGTAATATGTACACCTAGCCAGGGGGCTACGTCCCCTGGACCCCCGTGGTAATATATACTCCTAGCCAGGGGGCTATGCCCACTGGTCCCCCATGACTTTAGAAAAAAGAAGATCTATATATTACCTAGCCCCCCTGGACCCCCAGGGTTAAACTACATACCTTCATATAGCGAAAAACCAAACTAATCAGTGTTTCCGTCAATGGTCAGAATTGCCTGGTTTCTAATCACATTTTTCGGCATTTGGGGCACTTGGGCTCAATTACTAAGCTTTGATTGAGAATAATGTCTATTTGTCCTGTATATCCACAATATGGCCTTAAAATTGACCCGAAGTCGACACAGCACTTGAAATGAACATTTTTCACCGGCGTTTCTCAGCCTGTCAAATCTCCCAGTGAAAACGCGAATGCACACAAGGTTATTGTACAGAATAGCATAAATAATTACCAAAGGACGTAAGAGAAGTATAATAAAACTAGGAGAATGCATTACATACATGAATTCGAAGAAACAGTAATGATAAAATAAGCGTTCTCACAAGCAGGTAGCAATACATGGACTACTTGATGGATCGCATTTGTTTTGATCCTCACAAGGGACACATGGATGGGGAAAAGTGTCTTAGGGGAAAAGTGTCTTAGTTTTCATCAAGGTAACCACTCCATACACTTATTTCATTGTACAAATGGTTGACCAATAAGGAAAGTTTTCCCTTTACACGAATACTTAAACAATATGGTAATAAATTTAATCAAAATGACATTTTCCCAGTATTTTTAACTGTTTCACATAGCTATCTAACCATGTAATTGTAATTTTGTTTCAATTATTCACAGAATAATAAGTGTGATCTGTTGTTCTGTCACAAATGATACAAGTGAAAGTATTGGAAATAGTTTCCAAAGTGACCTCACCCCTCTGAAACCAAGATGCTATGACTTCAGCCACTTCTGGGGATCTATAAATATTGACCAAAAGACCTTCATACCCTGAGGGCTTCACCACTCAATTGCCATATATCCTATCAAGGGCTCCACCCCCAGACCCCCACGCAAATGCTGTGGGCTTACTCTTCATGTGGCACTTGTCACCAACTGTTTTCTTCCTTTCTGATGTTATTCTTTGCCTGAATAAATTATTTTGTGTATCAGTAAATGTATTTTTTTCCTTCTTAGTAACAATGTCATTAGATTTTCCTTATCTTAGTGCAATCATTAAGATGATAAGTGTCTAATTATTTGTTCTATTAAGTATAAAAGTTTACCTTGTATCACATGACTGTTAAACAAATTCTACCATTTTCCCTTGCTTGGGATGGCCACTACTACAAATCTTAGTGAGTATGGTGAATAGGGTACCTGGTTGAGTTGGTTGCACTAGTTGCCAATAGTGCAAACGACACCCCAATTCCCAGGCACCTCCAAAAATGTTGGCTGAAGTGGGAGGATTACCAGTGATTTCCTACAGAATGACAACCAGGGACGTTTAAGTGACATTAAAACCACCCTAAACAGATTCTCCAACGCGAGGGAAATAATGGCTGGAAATGCAACGTTACAGACTGCTCGTCAGAAATGCGAGGGCCACTCCCTTCTCTGGATTCGTCCAAGAGGCAATTAGGTCATTCTCTTTTTACTGAGTACCATTGCCACCTAAATGTCAGTGATAGTTATCAATACTTCATAACGATGGCATTTATTTCATTTGGATCTTTTACTGACCAGTGAATGAATATCAGAGCACTGTATTCCCGGAACACCAAGAACCTGGTCACACCCAAGCAACAGCTAAGTAATGTTTGACACTGTATTCACGGCTTTATTGCTTTAGATTTGACATTTCACGAGCCATCGTACTTTATAATATAATTTAATTTAATATGAAATGGCCCATATTGTCCAAAGGGCCTAGAAATGACCGACTTAGACCTACCGGAGGCCGCTCGACTGCCACGGACGCCATTCCTGCTGTAACTGATCTCGCTCATGGCGTCCCAGGGCTTTCTCGTCCGTCTGACTTCGGCTTCGT